TTTTTGATAGGCTAATTATAATTCATGTTAAATTAGAATTTCAGTTTTAACCAAAAGTTTTTTGCTAACATTTCTTGCTGGAGCTTTTGAGCAAGAATTCACTGTCTTCTTATGGCCCATCTGATTTCCTCATAGCAAAAACAAGTTAGTTATCATACAGCCTCAAGGAAGACAAAGAATATGGAAGGAAAGTGTGGCAGTTTAGGATCAGTAATGCTTTCTTATAGAGTAATGCCTGAAATCAAACCTCAGTGGGGAATGGAGACAAGCGTCTCAGTGATCAGGATTCTTCTTTATTTCACAGGACTTGCTTTGCTGTCCATACCAAGCCCTGTGGTTCATAGGGAACAAAATAGAAATCCATGATTTTCCTTTGTTTTGGGGAATCTGAAGTCCCGCACACCGAGCTTGTTTGAGCACAGATCACAGGTAGATCATGTCAAGGGCAGACACGTACCGTGTGTCGCAATCCTCTTACATCACCATCTTGAAGATCAGTTTGCTAACTTGGAGAGAATATTACTTTAGTTTATGCATATGGCTGTTTTTCTTTTTTTATTATTTATTTATTTATCTATTAAAGATTTCTGTCTCTTCCCCACCACCGCCTCCGATATCCCTCCCCCTCCCCCAATCAACTCCCCCTCTCTCATCAGCCCGAAGAGCAGACCGGGTTCCCTGCCCTGTGGTGAGTCCAAGGACCTCCCACCTCCTTCCAGGTCTAGTAAGGTGAACATCCAAACAGCCTAGGCTCCCACAAAGCCAGTACGTGCAGTAGGATCAAAACCCAGAGATGCCCTATCATACAACAAAAGTATATGCTCAACTATGTTCATAGCAGCATTATTTGTAATAGCCAGAACCTGGAAACAACTTAGATGCCCTTCAATGGAAGAATGGATGAAGAAAGTATGGCTGTTTTTCTTGCATGTGTGCCCGTGCACAGGCCTAGTGCCCTCAGATCCCCTGGAATTGGAGTTAGAGACGGCTGTAAGTCAACCTGTGGATGTTGGGAATTGAAATCCAGTCCTCTGAAAGAACAGCCCAGTTCTCTCAGTTACTGAACCATCTCTCCAGCCTCCTCAGTTCTTTGGTTAATTGAAAATGTAACTGCGTTCTTCCTTGGATTCCATCATGCTAATTCATGACTGGTTCCTTTCTCATGAGAAGGACCATGTGGGACCAATGAAATACTCTGGAGAACGTCAGCACAAACACTACAGCCAAGCCCAGTGACCCGACTTTGATCCCTGAGACCCACACTGTGGAGAGAGAGAGAACAGACTCTAGAATGGCTTAAACTCCTGTCTTAGACACTTGTACACCCTCACCCTCTACACAGATAAATACATATATAAATGAACAATTTTTTTTAAAAAAGGATTGTTCGGAAGAGAACAGATCTTGACATTTTTGTTCTTAGGAATAGTTGCTCTTTGTAGATTCTTCATTTCAAATTTTGTACCAACCCAGTCCACCACTTGTTAGAAATGACATGAAGTTTCAGCACTTTCCCCGGAGGCCAAAAACTTACTTGGCACCAACCCGAAGATTAGAAGTGGCAGGGTGAAGGCAAAGCACACAGCAGGAATTGTAAAGATCAGGATAGGTTGTGGGGAGTGAGGAGGGAAAGGGGCCCGATACTGGCATGGCTTTCAAGCAGTCGGTACAGACACTTTTACTGGGGAGGAGAAACGTGGTTTGTTTGGTCTCTTTGTTCAGTTCCTTTCACTGGGTATTTGCAGAACACCTGTGCTGTGCTAGAACAAGTTATCGCCCTTGAGCAAACAGAATCATGTGTGCACTGTGACTCACAGCTTGAAGTCCGCTTCCCTTTGAGATGCTATCTTATACTCTGTAAATTTAAGCCTGGGAGAATCTATACTCAGTGCCAGAGTGCTGAGAATGAATAGAAATAGAAGTATATGCTTGGGAGTGCGTCAATCCTGGGCTGTTTTTTCCTGATGATTTTCCTTCCTTTCAAGCCTTATTACCACCAACCCACACAGAGCTCCAGGCTGCTGACCAAGGGTCCAATCTGGAGCATAACTAGTGTTCAGTCATTGGGCAGAGCTTGACTGAATAGGTACTATGTGCCAGGCACTGTTCTAGGTCTTAACAAGTGGTGATGATTAGTCAGACAAAGTCCTCTGTACTCTGAAACCCCTTCATGCACAATTAATAAGCTAATTAACTCTAACAAGTCATAAATATGCAGGAAATGATAGTCATGAAATTTAATCTGTAACTGTACTTGAGGACTGGGCATGATTAATCAGGAATGGGCTTTCCAGTAACATTGAAGCTCAGAGCTTTATGAGAGCCAATTCTCAGTATGCTTAGAATGAAGTCAAGGGGCTCTCAAGACTCCATCTGAGATCCCCACAGGTTCCTGCCACTGTGGCAAAGCTACACTGTTCTTGGTGCAGTCATCACAAAGACTGACATGAATTACACAGCATAGAAAGGCGGGGCAACCACTGGAGACAGGAGTAACATTGTGATTCAGTTTTTGTGGATTGCTCATACTCCCAGGGCTCATCAATACCATAGCCACACCTTCGTTCTGGGAGAAGGCCCTGTGTAACAGACAAGAGCTCCTGGAAGGGACCAGCAGCAGTCAACCACAGAAACCAGCACACCCAGCAATCTGGCAGACACTGTTTACTGCCCTAGAGCACACGGGGTTACATGCTCTTATATTTATAATCATTATCTGCATCAACAGGCTTCAACCACGTTACTTTCCTAACCCACCCCATACAATGACTCAATAGCATCTGAATGTTTTGCACATAGAAACAAAAGACTTCCTTACTTAAATCATGTTATGGTCAAAAAAAAAAAAAACTTTTGTCTTTTCATAGCCTATTTTCTTTTTATTCTTATTGCTCGATAAAATTGAAAAATATGTATGGGATGTTACCACTCTACAAGACCAAAATTGCTGACCAAAAAAAAAATGTATTCTTAGTACATATTAACCCTTGAGTTATTTAGTTTCTGGAAGTATGAATTTATTAGTGTCTTAAGATATTTCAAAGATCTAAAATTATTAAAAGTACTTAGGAATGATTTTACAATAGAAAAGAATGGTATGGATGGCTCTTTAAGGGACTTGTTGCTTAATTGAAAAGACCAATGTCTACACACTGATTTGTGATATCTATCACCAATCAGTCATAGTATAAAACTGCACAAAATTAAGCAATGTTGTGAGATAGAAACGAAAAGCACCATAGAGACCTTGTGGCAAAGCAGAAGCGACTAGAGTTAGTAACTGGGAGCAGTCCACTTGAAAGATTGAGAAGACGTTGAGACATAGAGTGGTGATGGTCCTAATCAGATCTGGACCCAGTTGGGTGTTTTCCTGGGATAAAACACACATATGGGAACAGATGTCTATTGTCCATCTGGGAAGTGGTTGGGAAATGGTCACACTAATCTTGCCCCATGCCTCTAATAGGCATGTGAAATATCTTCAACTTCAGAGGCTTACTGAAGAATCCTGTAGGAGTTTTTCTATACTCACCAGTGGATTGTGTGCATTGTTGATGATTTGTAAATATTTGCATGATTTGTACTTTGAACTGTGTAGATGGCTTTTAAGGTATGTGTGTGAATTTGGACACAAGGACTCTCAGAATGCCTTCTTCTTGGTCACAGTCATTACAAAGTCATTGAAACACCATAAAATAATGAGCAACTTGAGGCCTAATGAGTTCATATCCTTCTGTTTGGAAATATCATTGAGACCAATTTTTACCTGTTACTTTCTGTGTGGATTTATCCATTGTGCCTTTCACTGAGAATATGTAAAATTGCTTTAATATTTGAGTGAATCCAAGGTATTTTAGAAGCGCACTTTGTACTTCCTTATATTTTCATTATGTTTTGAAAATTCTACTCTAGAATGGAACTTTCTTCTTTCTTCTCTCTGTCTCTCTTTCTGTGTCTCTGCCTGTCTCTTTGGATTGAACCCAGAGCACTTAATTAGGCTAGGGCTCTGTTCGCACAGCACTATCCCCAGCTGTTATCTACCAGAGATTTTACCCCTTCCTGTTTGTTCACACATTCACTCAACCCAAAGTTCACCTTCAGTTATGAATTAACTCCCCGGCAGGAAGTCCTTTTGGATGAAAGCAAATTTCTGATGACAATAGGCTTCTTTTTCTTTGTGGTTTGAGTCACTCAAGAATGAATGGTTTTGATAAGTCTAGAGGCCTCCATATCTGAATTAGTCCTATCTCTGAAAGAGAATTGGCATGATCAGGTTTTTGGCTTGCTATCCCAAGTGGAAGAATGGGAATCCATTTTCAAACTGTAATGGCTGTGAGTAGGCCCTCTTGTGGCCACACAGGTCCCTGCCTCCCAGTTTGGTTCTCAGAAGCAAATGCATTATCCAGCATTCTTTGTGGAGAGGCAGTCGGAAGGATTGCCAGTCTCTACTGTATTCTTAACATTTCTTTCCTGCAGTTTTTATTTCTTTTTAAAAGAACATGAAAGTGATATTTCCTGCAGTATATTGTAACTAGGTTTTTCTAGTGAATGTTTATTTTTCATAATATTGTTTGGCATGTTATCATTTAATAAGCAGAGGTTTCTATAAAACTAGTGAGGATTCTTTCATTTATCCACTTTTTTTGTCAGCCCAGTACCATATAAATATAGATAAGGTATTAGTTTATCCAAAAGAAGAATGCATTTTTTTTAACAGACAAACTTGCCATTTGAGGGGTGTATTCAATTAGTTTGATTGGAGTTGGAAATTCAGTGGAGCTTTATTTGCTCACGGGTAGACTGATGCATATTGCGGGAGTGAGTTCTTGATTCTGACTTCCACCAGAAGCCATCAGTTCACAAGGAAAATGAAAGAAGAACATTTTAAAATTTTTCATGAATTTAAATTGTGGATTTCAGTACATAAGATAAGCAAATTTGAGATTTTGCTAGAACATAGAATAACTAGCATGTGTTTCTTCTCTTCCTCTCTGCCGTAGGTTGACCTCAGAGCCACTGATGTGAGGCTCATGCGCCAGCTGCTGCTCATCAATGAGAGCATCGAGTCCATCAAGTGGATGATTGAAGAAAAGGCCACCATCACCAGCAGAGGCAGCAGTCTCAGTGGCAGCCTGTGCAGCTTGCTGGAGAGTCAGGGTACCTCCTTACATGGCAGCTACAACAGCCTCCATGATGGCAGTGATGGGCTGGATGGCATCTCTGTAGGGAGCTACCTGGACACTCTGGCAGATGATGTACCAGGGCATCAGACCCCTTCAGACTTGGATCAGTTCAGTGACAGCTCCATCATAGAGGACTCACAGGCTCTGCACAAGCATCCCAAGTTGGATTCTGAGTACTACTGCTTTGGCTAACGACCCAGTTTTTTGCATGGGACTGGTGTGCAATTAACTTGTATGTATCCTTCTTCTCTGCTGCTATATTTTTGGTGTGATTTATTTTAATAAGGCAACCTTTTTAAAGAAGCTTATTTTTAAACTGCTTAATGATATTTCTGTTGCTCCTAATATTTCTCATCTAGACTGATTTATTTTTCTCTGTTACATCTTTATTTTTATTTATTATAATAAGCTTTCTCCCCTCTAATAGTAGCACAGATAAGTAGAGGGGAAAGGATAAGCAATAATTGTTTTCGCTTTTGTTTTCAGAGCAAGGGGTCAGGGATTATAAGAAAAACTTTGCTAAATTTTACAATAAACCAAAGTCTGATAACTTCATTTTGTTGCTTGTGTCCTTAAGTGATTTTATACTTTTATGTGCCTGAAAATATGAAGATATTTTACTGTTTGTATAATAAGTTGATCAAAATATTTGGCTAAAGAAAACATTAATTCAAAGCCAAGACATTTTAGTGCGTAATGAGCAATGCTGTCAGTCACAAGCATCGACGTGATTGGCCTTTGGAAGATTCTAACTGCGTAGACTTGGGTCAGTCCACACTGGTGTTAACATTGTAGACTGGTGTTTTATAATCTATGAGTTTAACTCAAATCTCGAGTTTACTTCCATTACAATATGTATTACTCTACTAGATTTCAAAGAGACATGGACAATAGTCTCCATGGACCCTTAGATTTCACTGAGTGGCTTAAAAGAGAGAGACGGGAAGACCGAGAGAGAAGTGAGTCTAATCTTATGCAGGACCATGCTTGTTGGTGGACATACAGTGAAGAGCACTCTCTCAGCAGCATACATGGTGGGACCAGGCAGCCAGATGAGAAACCCTCCCCAGGACGAAGATGCAGCCTCATGGGGCGGAAATGACTACCACATGTATTTTAAGGTCCATCTCAAAGTCCCCTCCCTTCAGTAGTTGCCTTGCCTGGTTACAAGGAAGCTAGTAAGTGTAGTATTTCAACAGGAAACTGTTTAAAAGGCCCTAAATTTAAAGATAGTTAGAGCTTTATCTATATTTTCTTGTATATATTTTGCCACTCTAGTAGAAAGTATAAACATGTACAGTCAGATAGACAGACAGCCAAGAGCAGGGTAAACATGGGGAAGTGAATCCACGAGAGCCTGAGATAAAGGGGTGGCAAATATTTATTGGGAAACACTCATGAACAACAAGGAAGAATCGCCACAGTCCCCTGCTCTGTGGGTGCTGGCAGCTGTGATCAGATCACTGACCATCACCCAAGAGAGAGAGAGAGTGAGCCCCATCTCTCTTTTAAAAGTGATCAAACCCACAGACAGAAGACCACACCTTTAAGTCCAGTACCCCCAAAAGCTGTTGACTAATTAAATTCCCACAGCACAACAAAAACATTATACTATACTATTAAGACCAACATGACCTGGGTATATTTTCATTTGTGCAATAAGTCAAAACACTTTTTTTGTCCTTTTGACATTTACTTTATTTTACTTTATATGTATGGGTTTGAGGTGGGTATGTGCACAAGGATACCTGTGCGTGTGATGGCAAGCTATGTTAGGTCTTCTGGAATTATAGGTATCTGCAGACCACTCAACATGAGTGCTGGGAATCAAACTCTGGTCCACTGAAGGAGCAGCCCAAGCTCATAAGAGCTAAGACATCCCTGTACCCCCACTTAATTTTGATGTGATATTATTATCACCATACGTATTATTCATATACACATTATCATTCACATATATTTTTTCTTGATGATTTCTAGTGAGACAACTTTATTAAGATTTCAAAGTATCCTAAGGAATAATACATGTTTGCGCATTAAACATTTGACAATAAATCAAAAAGACCTTGCACTGCAACCAAGGAATGTCCTTATTCAAGAAATATTTTCTCTGTGTATATAAATTTATTGTTTGTCTCTAATACATACCACTCAATTTCAAATTAAAGTCTGTCATATATATTTTGCACTGTAAAATTTTCACCTAAAATTCTTATAGCATCACAGCCATCTCATGAGGTGAAGATTGCCGCCAATTTGTGTTTAAGGAAATTGAAGTTCATAGAATATAAGCTATGTGTGTGGTGGGGGAGGGGAATGTCAGATTCCTCCAGTGTCAAGCTTTGGGCTTGAATTGGGCTGAGGTCTCTGTTGTTCCTAAAGACTACACTCATTAACAATGGCTCATTTTTTTTTACTCTTTGTTGATATTAAATAATAAAATGTAGTTGAGAGAGCAAATATAGATCTGTCTGCAATTATATAAATGTAACCAACTGTTTTCATGCAATCAGTGTCTCCAGGTTTTCCAATGTGAACTACTTCAATTTCCAGCTTTTTCTTGAAATCACATGGCCAGAGAAGGCGCTCAGAAATAGTTGGACACTTGCCAATTCTTCCTCATCTAGTTCCCTTTTTTTTGTATACTTTCATTTTCACTTTAGTAAAAGGTATTTGATGGAGTTTTTTCTTTAGCTTTAGTCTGTAATCATAGCAAAATATTTTTTAGCATAGATTATCAGATTAAAAGTCAAGAGCATACATTGTGACTCAACAGAGGACACATTCTTCCAAACAAGACTGATGAATTTCAAGCAGAATGCAATAAACTACATAAGCATATGTCTACAGCATAGAGAAGAGGCGATCCTTAACAAGAATAAAGTTGGCTTGTAGCAATAGAAGAGTCACAACTGCAAATTCAAACATCTGTAAGTCCCACCATTTGCCTAGAACAAGTCATGCACCAGCAAGTTCTTGGTACAACTTCAGACTGTGATCTCAGGCTGGCAAATTTCTTTTATATCTTTCTTGTCTAACCAAGTTTCCCAACTATTTGTCCATACTCCCTGTGAATATCTCTTCTTCAGCAAGGAAATGAGAAAAATCTTAAGAGTTCACTGTGAGAGAAACATATGGGATGGTTTCTATTTGGATGTTATATCATAAGGAACCTAGTAGAAACAGTGGTAGAATAGATCATTTTGTGCCTCATTACCAATGATTTTCAATATTTTATAATCTTAGGACTTATTCCATTTTTTTCTTTTGAGATAGCTGTTTCTCTGTGTAGCCCTGGCTTATCTTGGAATTTGCTATAGTCTAGGATGGCCTTGAACTTGGAGACCCACCTGCCTCTGCATCCCAAGAGCTGGTATTAAAGCTGTGCACTACCATACCAGACTTCCTTTTTTTTCCCCAAAAACTAACACACATTGTATGCTTTCGATACTAGAATCACTTAAATAACAACAGTGCTTTCACTAGGGGGAATGTATGCTTAAACAAGACTAGTATTGGCCATTGGTCTCATAAGAATGAACCTATAGAAGATTTCTATTACCAATCTCTGATCTTGAGCCTGATATTTTGTCTTTGTTAGCATCATAGGGAAGTGGGCTAAGAAATTAAATCAACAATGTTTTCCAAACTATTCTGCCTGCACTGATTTTTGTCATAGAAATTGGAATGTGCCTAGGTTACCATAATCTATTTTAATAGAAGTAAAATAATTGAATAAAAGCAATTCAGGCAAGCCAATGCTAATATGTTTTTTGGCACTATTTTTCACTACATGGGGTTAGAGTTTAGAGTTCTAAATAGTCTTCTGTGCTCAGAGATGCAGTATAGACTCCTTGCAGGTGGCTGGATAATAACGCATCTGTATCACCATAAATAACTTCACTTAAAGCATATATAATTCCACAACTCTATCAATATAGTCTTATCCATGAGAACAAATGGCAATTTGGAGATACTGAACCTACTAACAGATCAACAGTAGTTGACACATTCAATCACTCTTTTGAAAGTCTATCTTTGCATGGATCCAGAATGCCACTTTCCCCTTTTTCTATGTTGCCTGCTTCTTCAGACTCCATTGCTGCTATCCCTCCCCCCTCCTTTTATTTTACTGATCTCCAAACCTCAGTGTGCTAGGCTTTATTCTCTTCCAAAAGATCAGTCTGGAAGTTTTATTCAATGCCACAGTTTTGCAGGGCCTTAACATTCTGAGGTTTCTGAACATATATCATATTCCACAGTCTCTTTCTAGAACCCCACTCTCTCATGCCCATCTGCCCACATAAGTTTTATCCTTAATTTCTGATATGTAACTCATTCGGAACATATCCACAACCTTTCACAATCTCCCCAGGTTAAGTAAGTGGTACTTTCTTATTGTCAAATTCCCAAACAAAATTCTCAGCCCAAATCTCTCTAGTCAATCTTAGTAACTCTTTTTCCTCACACAGGATCCAAATTGTATGAGTTCCATCTAGAGCCCTGGTGTCTAATCCAAATCCTTACTAGTGACTATAAAATCCTATGCAATCAGCCCTGCCACTTCTCTGATCCCTGACCTCATCTTCTATCATAGAGCTTATGTTTCATGACAAAACCTCAAAGGCATGACTTTTATTTTATAAAGAGTTTCAAATATACATTCCAACCTCAGAATCATTGCACTTCTTAGTTATTTCTGAAGAGATTTTTTGTAGGCATCTTCTTCTACTTCTAGAGTTTTCTGTGGTCTCTGGTCAAATAGCACTTTTCATAAAAGAGCCTCTTCTGTAGTAGTCCAGAGCACTTTGCCTTTCTTACCCATAGTTATTACCAGCAGACAATTTATGTGTGCATTTTTTGTTTTTCTAAACCAAAGCTAGAGATTATAAGAACACAAATGATTTTTTTAATCCATGTCATATTTCTCACCACCTAAATGAGTATCTTTCACATAGTAGATACCCAGTAAATATTTTATTTATTTATTTATTTATTTATTTATTTATTTATTATGTATACAATATTCTATCTCTGTGTATGTCTACAGGCCAGAAGAGGGCACCAGACCTCATTACAGATGGTTGTGAGCCACCATGTGGTTGCTGGGAATTGAACTCAGGACCTTTGAAAGAGCAGGCGATGCTCTTAACCACTGAGCCATCTCTCCAGTCCCCCCCCCCCCCAGTAAAAATTTTAATTGAAGTGCTTTTACATGTTTGCTTGATGTGT